CCAGCCACCTAAGAAGGGGAGCCCAGGACAAATGAGGCATATGGAGATTGTGTTCTCTGGTCTTTGAAAGTAGAAACAGAGGGAGGGGGAGAGAGAGAGTGAGAGAGAGGGAGGAAGGGAAGGAGGGAGAGGCAGATAGAAATAGGTTACAGGTACAGGAACTAAGCGAATAATTCATAGTCAAGACACTTACCAAAGTTGATGCCTCTGAAGCCCCATCCTCAGGGACCAAGAGATGTCACAGAAGAGATGTCTCTGAAGAAGGGTAGGAGGAGTTTCTAGAGAGGGGGAACTCAACTCAAGACCAATGGGGTACTTGGCATACATGATAGAAAAGATTGTCAGCACAAGCCAGACAAAAGCATAGACAGAAGTTTTTTTAGGAAGGTAGTACTCATTCAAAGGACAATGTGGCTGTCTCAAGAGTGAGAAGCAGCCCAAACTCAGACAAGGGGCCCAATATTTATAGAAGAGCTATATCAGGTGCCAAACTGGAGGTGGATGTAGGATGGAACCACACAATTTCAGTTTTCCTGTACTTATGTATTTCTCTCATTTTATAAGGGTGTGGGCCAAGGTTTACAACTGTGTTTTCTGCAGCTCAGTGGCTTGACTCTGCATTTCAGTGGCTTGAGGGTATTTCCCTTAAGATTCCATATTTCTCTCTATATATCCTAAATCCCTATCTCAAGGAGGTGAGGCAGGAAGATCACAAGTTCAAAACCAGTCTCAGCAAATTAAGAGAGACTCTAAGCAACTTAGTGATTCCCTGCCAAAAAAATAAAACAGAGCTGGGCTCAGTAGTACACTCCTGTACTCCCAGTGACTGGGGCTCGGGAGGCTGGGGCTCCAGAGGCTGAGACAGGAGGATCTCAAGTTCAAAGCCAGTTTCAGCAAAAGCAAGGCACTAAGCAACTTAGTGAGACCTTGTCTCTAAATAAAACACAAAATAGGGCTGGGGATATAGCTCAGTGGCTGAGTGCTCCTGAGTTCAATCCTTGGTACCCAAAAAATAAATAAATATAAAACTATCTGGGGATGTGGTTCAGTGCTTAAGCACCCTGGGTTCGATTCCTGGTACTCCTCCTCCCCCCAAATTTAAAGTATCAAATTATTTATCTGTTAAGAGCAGTGATTATTGTAGGAAAGTTATCACTTTGTTAATTTATGTTACATGATAACTTGGCATTTTTCCCCTGTTGTTAGATAATCAGAAAACATCACGTTTCATAGCATTAATGTCAGAAACCTCTCAAGAAATTGTTTCTCATCCTCTTGAATTAAAATAATTAGATGATTGTCTTTAATTCTAATATCTGTAATGAAAAAAGGTGCTTTTTAATAGCAAGATGAGCCAGCAAATAATTTTATGAAGATTATACAGCTAGTTAGGGGCTAAGATCAAAGTAGAATCTTTAGGGATGGGGGATATAGCTTAGTGGTAGAGCACTTGTTTAGCATGTGTAAGGTCCTAAGTTCAATCCCAAGCACTACAAAAGAAAAATAAAAAAGAATTAAATTACTCAGTTTGCTAATCAGGTATCTTTAGAGATAGACAGGACTTAGCATATTTATTGGAGAATAGCTTTCATGCCTCAGGGTGCTTTTCAGTTGCTATTGCCACTTTTATTGTAGGTCACTGAAGACATGGAAGCACCCACCTGACCCTCTCCCATGATGTCAATACTATTCTCATTCAGGTGACAACTAATGGATGGGCAGTGGCCTCACATATATTTGAAAGCAGCGCCACTGTCTGAATTAGATCTTGCTCCCCCAAGCCCTAAGTTAATAGAACTAGTCAGGTTTGGCATGAAAAGCTGTCATTTACAATGCAGAGTATGTCATTAATTAAACTTGAAGTATTCTCACCCATCCCATTTAATACTATGTAGTTAAATAATAGTGAAGATTGGAAACAAAATAAAATAGACTAGCATTGTGATATTTATATAGGAGACAATTTCCTTATCTTAAAAGTGTTTTAAAGTTTTCTTTATTTTTAAGGAGAAGTCGTTTAACCTGAAATTGCAAATATACTTTAGATATCACATTTAAGCAATTTTCTAATAGATTCACAGTCTCCCCCACTAGAAACAACAGGAAAAACATGCAGAAAACTTCAGAACAGATTGGAAAGCTTGCAAACCCTGGTAGAAGATCTGCAGCTGAAGAACCAAGGTACATTGCTTATTTTGGGAGAGTTCTTGTTCCTAAGAGTACTTACCTTCACTAGGCATGGTGACACACACCTGTAATCCCAGCAGCTCATGAGGCTAAGACAGGAGGATCACAAGTTTGAAGCCAGACTCAGCAATTTAGTGAGACCCTAAGCATCTTAGTAAAACCCTGTCTTAAAATAAAAAATAAGTAAAGGACCAAGGATGTAACTCATTGGTTAAAGCACCCCTGGGTATAAATCTCTGGTTAAAAAAAAAAAAAAAAAGAATCTTTGCCTTCCCTTCAGATTAATTCTCCTAGCTATAGAGCCATTAAAAGGTATTGAATTAGCAATTTAGAAACTTTATTCAACATTTGAGCATCTCAGCCATGACCAACCCCTACATTAATTTTCTGATCTTGGTCCTGCTCCACCCTACTCTTATCTGATAGGGATGACAATTTTGCTGACCAACCCTCAATAGGGTTGAGAGGTTTTTCATGTGAACTTTCCTGTACACTGTCCTTCTTGTCTATTTTTTCTATAAACAGACACTTGTATAATGGTAGCCAAAATAGAATTAGAGTTCATAGCCAGAAAACAAAATAATGATATTTAGCCTACACATAATTTAAATTAGTTTAGAGCTATAAGAGACTATGTCACCCAATGAATGAATCACAAAATAAAAAGTTAATCCACTTGTAAAAATCTGAAGCCATTTGAATGAGAAACTACTACAATCTGCAGATGATGGGCAGCTCTTGCTAAATACCATGGATATGGGAGAACTATCATGTTTCATGCTTTTCTGTTTCATAACTCTACCTTTCAAAAAATATGCTCCATTGCAAATTTTCACAATTTCTTAATTCTATACTGTTAAAAAGTGAATCTTTAAAGAAGCACATAATTTAAAACCAAAGTAGATTTTCTTATTCTAACTTTGTTTTATCAACATTTTCAGCAATGTCTTCAATGATCAGAAATCAAGAAAAGAGGATACAGAAAGTGAAAGACCAGGAAAAAATGTTACTGAAATGACACATTGCTTGCCTATTCTTTACAGAGGGATGATGCCCAATTAATTGTGCTGTTACTTTAATTAGTGCCCTGTGTGCTTTTTTTCTTTTTATGTGAAAATTTAATAAAAGATACCTGTCCTGTAAAAATCTACTTTGAATCAAACTATTCTTGAGTGCTCTCACAGCAAAACTTCAGACAATACTAGCTATATTTGAAAGTATTCATATATTATGACGTGTTCATTTGTGCTAGTTCCAGTGTACTGGAATAACTGTGTGTGTTTTGTTATCTTTACTGGCTCTAAGACATTAGGGTTTTTTTTTTTTTTTCAGCTTAAAAAATGCCTGGGGTAAAATGTGATTTCATGTGGAAATGAAGTGGCATAATGCCAAGGACAGGACAAACTCCAGCAGGGCCTTCTTTTGTGACTCTGAACTCACTGTTTGTCCTGTCAATATAAGTGAAGGTAATCAGATAACAAAACTTTGGGGCCCTTAGTCAAAACTTTCAGAAGTCTTTATTAATTACCAAAGAAAGTAAATATTTTTGTTACTCTTCATCAAGTGAGTAGAAACTTCTAGGTTGAAATAATTCAGTCTTGCCTTAATTAGAATTTAATAAATTAGGAGGGTTTGCTTGTGTACCAAATACAATGAGACAAGAAGAACAGAAATAAACATGTTTCATTTGTGCCAAAACATCAGGGACAATTTGGCAGAAGGCTAACTGTTCAAAAAGTTGTGCTCCTGTTTCCCCATAGAGAACAGTTGTCTAGCAGACAGTCTATTTTCCAGTTCCACCTCCTTTACATCTAGTTTTGGTCACCTGACCAGCTCTCACTAATAGAATGGAAAGTGGGAAGAATACTATGTGGCACTTTCAAACAAAAAGTGTTAATATGCAATTTTCCTTGCTTTATTTTCCTCCCATAGCTGGATGCAGAGGACGGGAAGAGTCCTCATGGATATTAGCACCATAGGGCAAAAGGGAGCCTGGGTGATTTACTCTGCAAGGAAGAGAGCAGCCGTGCTGCTGAGACCCACTAACTGGTACAGGGACAAGAACTGGGCATCTGGTGTTGCTGCCTTCCATGATAGCCTGGAAACACAGCTTGCTGGGTCTAGCAAATGGGCTGAGGACGCGCATGCTCTCAAAACCCTATTGCCACATCCCATTTTAAATGATTTTTTAAAACAAAGTTTAATAGTCTATGTTAATCTCTTAAGTCTGTTGGCTTTAGTGAAAGATTTTTATTTCATCAGATAATAAAATGGCTGACAGAATTCTAAAAATATTTTTATTTAAAGTGTTTTATCTTTAATTTTACCTTATAGGAATGCTTGATTATGTGCATTAATGATAAATGCCTTCTGCAAACCTCACTGGTATAATACAAAATTTGTTATCAAGTATGTAAGCAGTATATATGAATTTAACATACAGTACTGTGAGCCCCAAACTGTCAAACAGCTCTGTTTAGCACTTTCTAATGCTACTTTCTGTTGGGTTTATGTTTTTTTCAGCAAAGAGTTTTACTAGGATTATTGTTTCACCAATAGATGTTACACTTACTAAAAGTCATTTTAACATATAAGAATTCATTTTCAAGTACAGGCATGCTGAATTTCCCTCCAAGCAAAAGTTTTAAAAGAAATACTTTAAACTTTTTCTCCAAAGAGAAGAGAAAAACAGACTCTTCATACTTAATTTGATTTTTTTAAATGTGTCTCTTATTGAAGAAAATATTAGTATTTTATTTTACATGTATGCTATTATGGTACTAAGAATTAGACAAGTAATTCAGACATTTAACAAGGTTATTAAAACTCAAATTTTATTCTTTATTCAGATACAATAACTTAAAGCTTAAATGTCTCCTTTCAGAGCAAAGATATACTTTTGTCTCACTGACCTGGGTAAAATTTGTCACCTGAGATACTACTGGGATGAAAGGAGTGGGAAGGGGGCGAGGGATGGAAACAGTTGCAATGGGACAGTCCATCTGTTGAGACCTGGTGAGAGAGGGCAGCACTGAGCAGGGAGATGGTCCTAAGGGGCTCCCAGAGTAAGTGATGGGTCAGCCAGGCTGAACCTGGACCTCCTGGTCCTCTAGGAGGTATCCCTCACCTCAGGCCCCCTCACTCAGCCTGCATCTGAACTTCATTTATATTCCCTTTCTCATGGGGATGTTCCCATGCCTGACTTCCTTGAGGGTAGACTCTGATCATTAAGACAAAGACTTCAAATCCACACCTGGCAGGCAAAAATCAGACAAAAACCCTGGGGAGTCTCAGAACTTTACCTCAGATCCTTACTAATCACACATAGTGACCAGACATTTTTCTGGTCACAATTCCATATGGAGTTAACTATTTTAAATGTAAAATGTGTGAAGAGAGTTTCTTCAGCTGTTTCCAAAGAGACTCGTTTATTGCCTTGGTCTCCAGAGCGCCTGTAAAAGCTCAAGCTTGAATCAGTGGAGCTGGTTAGTGTCTGTGCTTCCTGACCACAGTCCACACCTGAAGTTTAGCTAAGTCAACCCCCACCCCAAGGCCGAGCCCCAAGGTAATGATTTATCAGCACAGGTCAGTCAACCCAAGCCACAGGAGAAAAAAAGTCCATGCTCACTGGAAACATTATCTGCATATATATATTTCTGACATCAGACAAAAGCCACTAGCGAATTCAAAACAGCTCTGATGGCTAAATTTGGAGTCACGCTGCCTTTATTTTAAATTATTCAGTGTGCTCCATAGCCTCAGCCTTTTCTACATTCTGCTACAGCCTGTTATTTGGCAGGCAGAATCAGTGAATCCCCCACAAGCCCTGAACCACTTTATCCTCATGACCAGTCTCTAAGAGTCTATTGCTGCATTCTTCCCAGCGAGTAACTCCCCCATTCTCTACCAACACAAACTTCCACTCCACCACTGTATCTGCTGGCAGGAAAACAGAATGAGACCAAAACCCATCCTGGTGATAGTGGAGAGGGATGTAAGTATTCCATCTCCCAAGATTCTCGTGGTCTCCAGTTATTGCGATGAATTGACTATCAGTGCCCGTGATGTAATGTACCTGAAACCTGATGTTAACTTGCCGAGACTCTGAAGCTATCGTTGCGACCTTTTTTGCTTTCCCATTCACTTCCCAACCTCTTGCCTCCACACGAGTGCTTCTGCCACTGTCCATTGAGGCCTCAAGACTGCCACCCAAACCCACATCTCCCCAAGATGAGTGCCTAGACACCATTTCCCAGTCCTCATGGTCAGTGAGGTCCTGACTGTTCAACTGTGCAAGACTCACTTCTGTAGCTCTGTCCATGAGCAGGTTGCTAGAAGGCAACTTCTCTGCAGATGATGTAGCTGCTTTAGTGGGTGTGTCATGTTCTTTTTGGAATTTCTGTTCTCCTCTGTGAGATTCAAGGCTTTTATTTCTTGAAACTTGAGAGTAACCACTGGAGTTGGCAATCTCAGAGGTAGCTAGAGACTGTGTGTCTGGGATCTGTCTAGCAGGAGCAGGCTGTCTTGCACTGTCCCAGTATTCTCCGGAAGGATTCTGTGGTCTCTGTGATGCTTCCTGTAGGTTACCAAGACCTTTGGTCTCAGAAATCAAATGTCCATTGCTTTCTTGAAGATGCTCTAAGGAACAAAAAGAAAAATGTACCATGTTAGGCAGTTCACAAAAGAAAGACTGAGAATAGAGACTGTTATTGAAGGCTTTACTATAACTCTGCAGTTCACCAAGTCTCTTAAAATCTATTACATATTTATCTGTTGTGTTCTAAGAATATACATGTCTATCTGACAATAAAAGGCACATCCAGGAGCATCAGTGAGAGAGCAGAAGACTGTAAATGAGGTGGCAAGTTGGAAAGGCAGAAGTGTAAACCTGTCCTCAGCCTGGCACAGTCCTGTCAGAGCTGGCATGCAACCAAGTCAAGTTGTTAGGCTCCTATCATCAAAAATGCTGTCCAAGGGCTGGAGCTATAGCTCAGTGGTAGAGTATATGCTTCGTACGTGCAAGGGCGGGCACACGGACACACACACACACACACACACACACACACACACAGAGCAAGGATCTGCCCTCATGTGGTGAGCAGATCAGGAGTCATTACTAAGGGAACAGCAAGGGCAGTGCATGATTGGTCAAGGTAAGGGATGAGGTGAACTGTCAGTGGGGGTGAGCTAGTTTCTCCTTGCCAGTGCCACAAGTATTTCTTTAGTGGGAAAAAAAAATCTTTTTGCAGCCCCTTCCACTATACATACTTAAAAAAAAGAGGGGGGGGGGTTCTTAAAACTACACAAATCAAGTCTCCTAAAGAATTTCCATCTTGTTGGTAATCCAAATAGTTCCTTACAAGACCGAAATCTTCAAAATCATACAATCAGCCCAAGTGGTGTATTTGAGGGGAAAGGGAAGGGCAGTCTGGTTTCATTTTACCTCTTTTTTCCCCCCAGTGGTGGGGTTGGAAATGAGATGTCAACAAATATTACTCTGAATTTGCAATTTTTCTACCTAAAACATGAGGCTGATCTTTAGGGGAAAAAAGGTAATCCCAAACTGATGGCAGGAAAGGCACAGCAGAATTTTTTGTAGCTACAAATGAACACGCCACTAAAAATAAAGTTCGCAGATGTCATTTTCACCATTAGGCTGCTGTCCATGACAGGCTGTTTGCCAGGGAGGGCACTGGAAGGTGGGTTTTGTGCCAGTGCTCGCTCTTTGACTATCTTCTCTAAAACATAGGTTTGAACCTAGATGTCGATTCTACTCATCAGAGTTGGGTCGCCTGTTAAGAGTGCCTTCCCAAGGGGGATTAGATCACCCTCCGCTGTTCTAGAGGGCCGCGTGTGAGGGTTGGTAATTCTGAAATGGGCTCAGGGCTTCAGCTGCAGCGTTCCTGGCTGGAATCCAAGCTGAACTTTGCCTTCCTGTAGAAGCGTCCAGATAGCAGGAGGGGCTCACGGCGCATCTCTAGTGTGGGGTGAGAGGGCGTGGGGCTATGGGACTGGACTCAGAAAAAGTCCCTGCTCGGCCAGAAATTGAATAGGGTTGTGGGATGCCCCCCAAACCTAGGACTGCCTTTCCGAAAAGCCGGGAAACGGCAACGCAACAGCAGCCACCCGCACCGCACCAAGCGCGGTCAAGCTGAAGGGCCAGTCCCCGCTGGAGCGGCCAGGACCCAGGCTCTTGGGTGGGCGCCGAGGGCAGAGATTCTGCGGGGCGCGGCCCTGGGAGGATCGGGTAGGGTATCTCCGAGACTTCCGTGGAGGGTGAGAAACGTTTTTGGGCCTTGGGAAAAGGCTATGTGCGAAGGGTCCAGGCCCTTGCAGGGAAAGCTCCTCCGCCGAGATCGGCCGCTAGTAAAGCTTCAGGTGGGTTTCTTCCCTCCCTTGATGAACTTCACAACACCTGGTAGACACGCCCTGGAGACGCGCGGAGAAAAAAAAAATAATACCTGGTTTGATGACCACCTCCTGCTTGTAAGGTCCGGGGCTCAATCCACCGCTGCCAGCACCCTGATCGCTTCCAGGAGCCGCAATATCGGCGTCCTTACGCTGCTCGGTGCCCCCGTCCTTCCCGTTGTCCCCGGGGTCGCCCCGCAGCAGCCAAACGAAAAGCGCTCCTGCCAGACCCCCTCCGACCAGCAGGGCTGACCAGACGGAGCCCATGACTGAGAGGCTGCAGCCGCGGGAGACGACGAGAACCTGGACTAGGGCTCGGATCTCGCAGGCAGAGCCACACCCACTCCGCCCGCTCCAGCCTTTTACGGTTTCTGCGGCGGGCGCTCCCGAGCCGAGCCCAGCCCTCCGCGACTGAGACTCAACTTTCCTAGCCCCGCCCACTCCCCGCCCCCGAGCCGCGGCCCCCGGCGGCAGCGGGGCTGGGACTCGAGCACAAGCCGCACTCAACACTTTTTTCTTGGTTCTTCCAGTCACCCGCTGCAAAGAGCGCGTGGTGCAGCATTCCGCTTGTGTCCCGCGCGCGTAAAGAGCTCAAAAGCGCACAATATTGCGCGCGCTCCTGGGTCCTGCCCCACACCCTTCTTTCTCTCGCGGCTGTCGGCGAGGTCCTGTCCAGCCCCGCGCTCCGACGGGAATCTCGTTTCCCCTCCCCTTTGACAAACAGCGCCGCCAGCCCGAGGCCAACAGCTTCCAGGAACTTGAGGCTCTAGAGGCCGCTAGGCGTCGGTGACGCGCGGTCCAGGGCCAGCTCCGGAGAGGACGTGCGTTCGAACGGGGGGCGGGGCGGTGAGTAGGCAGATGCGGTGCCCCAAACCTGCGAGACCCTATGGAAGCTCCATCGGGCAACCAATTACTTGCGCATAGCCTCCCTAAGCCTTTGCCTCATCATCTGTAAAATAGAAGGATAGAACTGACAACGTATACATCTATAAATGCCAAGTATTTCAACCACTTCCTCTCATAGCTTCTTCCTTGAACTGTGTGGTTGCTGCGACTTGTGCGCCCACCTATCTGGACTGGATAGTGTCCAGGCACAAGCTCCTATACATAAATTTATTAGTAAAAATAGCAGTTCCCTATTAAGCGCTGTTTGTATTCCAAGTGTTTTATATATGTGTTTATTTAATCCTCCCAAAACAATAGCAACCCTGTAAGCTAAGAAGTATACACTACCCCGCCCCCAAATTCCACATCCTCTGCAAATGTAATGACTTTACAAACTTACTTTCAAGCTGAACATCCCCCACCTTTGTGTCTGAGCCAAATCCAACTGCTGAAGGCCACAGATGGCAAATATCCACCTTGGAGTAATTACTAACATGCCTCCTTAGAGTAGGACAAATGATTCCAATGTACCCCTTGCTGGGAACAAACAACTTCTGACAGGAAGCTCCTTCTAGAGGGCGGGCTCAGCCTTCCTGCAGGTGGCAAATTCTACTATTATACAGTTAGAACACACACACACATAATTATAAGGGAGGGGTGGAAGGCTGGGTGATGCCTACTGGGTGTCTCCTCCTGGGTGCCTAATGGACATCTCCAACCCAGCTCACCCAGATCTGCACTCTTCAAACCTGGTACTTGCCCCACAGTTCCTCATCTCAACAACTGAAAACTATATCCTTCCTGTCACTACAAACAAAACAAAACTACTTCAAGCCATCAGTCAGGGTGATTTTGTGTAACCAAGACTATCATGCCAGTCCTCTGCTCAAGATTCTCCTATTGCAAAAACCTTGAGCACTCTGTAGCATCTGTCCCCCATGACCTCTCAGGACTCATCTCAAACTTGTCCCTTCCAGCCACACTGACTTTTTTGCTTTACAAAGATTCTATATGCATTTTAACACAACAGAGAACTCACCTTTTTGTCACATAGGTTTCCTGTCTTCAACTAATTATGGTGTCAATGGAGGATTTGAGGGGCAAACCGTATCCAAACCATAGCAATTATTATTTTATTATTATTATTATTATTATTATTATTATTATTATTATTTAGCAGGAATTGAACCCAGGGGCGCTTAACCACTGAGTCACATCCCCATTATATTTTATTTAGAGACAGAGTGTCACATTGAGTTGTTTAGGGCCTCACTAAGTTGCTGAGGCTGGCTTTCAACTGGTGATCCGCCTGCCTCAGCCTCCTGAGCCGCTAGGACTACAGGCATGTGACACCACATCTGGCCCATAGCATGTATCTTTTATAATAAACCAGAAAATGTAATTAAATTGTTTCCCTGAGTTCTAGCAAATCATAGAACCTAAGGAGGGAGTCATAGGAAACGCCAGTTCATAGCTGATTGGCCAGAAGTAGGAGAGGCTTGGACTTGGGATTGGTCTCCAAAGTAGAGGAAGTCTTGAGAAATTAAGTCCTTAAACTTGTATGATCTTGGTGTTAGAATTAACTAGTGTCCACAGAGAGTTGGAAAGTTGCTGATTGTGGAACTACCCTTTCCTCCAGTTTTGGTGACCAGAAGTGAAGTAGCAGAGAATAAACAGTACTTTTCCATTGCCTTTTTCCTTGTCATTCCCAGTGTCCTCACCCCACTCAGACCTCTCCTTCATCTGTCCAAACCACTACAGTCACTACCCAAGTCAGCAGGGTACCTCCATCTGCTCTGGTTCTCATCCACTCCACAACTATTCCTGATTTAATCACACTCAAGTATAGTCCTGAGTAAGACAGCGCTTATCTGCCAGATTGAGTTCAATCCTGATTTTAGCCTTCAAAGTGTCCTAGGACACAGCTCCAAAGACCACTCCATGCCTTTCTCCACTAGTTGTCTGTACTCCAGCCCAACTAGGATTCTCCTGCCAGAATCTTCATCATTGATCAAAACATTTCCTGATGCCACTTCCTTCTGTGAAACTTTTCTCCAGCTAAAAATCCCTCTCCACACCCCCCATTCCTCAAATTGATGTCATTATTTTATTTGAACTCTGAACACATTGTAACTTTCTTAGAACAAAATGTGAGTTTTTCTCGTATAATAGTATTATTTTTGTAGTTTGTCTAATCCCTATCTTAGATCATATATTCCAAAAGGTCAATGCTTGTTCATTCTTTGTATTCCTTGGAACACAAAGCCTATCTTCTAAAGGCCTCCCTCTGGTTGTTCTTGTTTATTGAATACTTAAGATATGCATGCACAAGGCTAAGTGTTTTGTGAGGATTATCTCCTGTAATGACCTCAGAGGAGTAATTCTGCCCAAGGGCATTCAGATGATGAATGACCAAGCTGGGATTTGAACCTGGTCTTCTGAAGCTCTAGCTACACTGAATCCTGATGGCTATTAAACTATGTGCAAATTTCAAAGCATAAATTTTAGAGGTGAGTGTGCAAATTTGGATGTGTGACATGTGATATCCTTTCTGGGAATATTCCAACATTTGTGGTGATTTCAGACACATTCTTGGTTTGTAATTCTTCTGTCTACAAGCCCTGCCTCCCTAGGGAAATGTATTTATCACCACTAGCACCTGTCCAGTGCTTTCAAACCTCAGCTCCTGGGTCCACATAACATTCAGCACAAGCAAAACCTCCCTGCAAAGCAGTCATGTTGGAGCCACCCGGCTTCAGGTTTCACAGAGACATTTTCTAGCTGCAACTGTTTGCAAACCTCTGACTCATCTTAGTTCCAGAATAGACACCAAGCTGAGCTGCTATGCTAAATGACGAAACCTCTAGAAAAGGAGACTCTGTTGGAAAAACTAGCTCACTGTATAGAGAAAAAAATAAAGCTGGATTAGTACTTCGTGCCACATAAAATGGCAGACACAAGAAAGAATAAAGTCTTAAGTGTTAGTGGTAAAACTACAAAGCTAATAAAACTAAATGTGAGAAACTATCATTGTGACATTCCCTAACACAGGAGACAACTTTTTTCTTGGGACTTGGAATTGAAACCATGGAATTGTAACCACTGAGCTACATTGCTACATACCTAGTCCTTTTTATTTTGTTTTGAGACAGGGTCTCACTAAGTTGCTGAGGGTCTTGCTAACTTGCCCAGGCTGGCCTTAAACTTGTAATTCACTGGGATTACAGGTGAGTGCCATCATGTTGACAGGGATGCTCTTTCTTCAGTGCCTGGAACAAGTCCTGAAACATAACAGGAACTTATGGAATGCTTGATTGGATAAAATTAACAGATATAGAAATGTTCACTCACAGGTATCCACATGAATGAAAATTAAAATAATGTTATGCCATTTTACATCCATCAGAAAGGCAAACATTAGAAAAAATGGCACTTCTTTTGGAGAAGTAAAAAGGTATAAACAATCTGTAAGAATTTTATGAAATTAAGAATGCATATACCCCAGGACCCAGCAACCCCACTCCTCAACATGTGTGGCCTAGAGGCCACCTAGCTGCACAACAAAATGAAATCGCTAAGTAAAATATGGTGGATGCCTATGAAGTACTGCATTACTATGTAATATTTACTGAATGGATAAATGGATATCAGGAATGGTAAAGCTCTAGAACATATTACCAAAATTATAGCAGGTGAGTGTCCAGAGATCCTTCCTTCCTTTCACTGACTGTTATCTTGTTGAGAGAGAATTAAGTAGATTAGACAAGGTCAGAGGTAAGCAAACCAAGACGAGGACAACCTGGGGTACCTTTACCTCCTGTTTCTTGTCTTCTTCCTTTTTTCAGTATTATTCATTAACTGTTTTCCTGATCCCACCCACATGACCATGATACCAAAAATATTATTTTCTGTTAACCTTTATCAAAAAGAAAGCTTAAAGTAAAAATTATCAAAAAGAGTAAAATTTATCTTTATCAAAAAGAGTTTAAAGTAAAATTAGATGGAGGACCAAAAAAAAAAAAAAGAGTTTCTAGTGGAAAACCTTTACACCCTGGGCACCTGCACTGGAGGGTTTTCCCTAGCTCTTCCCGCCAAAATGTGCAGCGTGGACTGTGAGGGCACCACTGTTGCCGCCCAAGGGAAGACAGGCTAAGTCACAAAGAAATGCAACAAGCCAAAGTCATTTCCAAAATGTTCAAATTCACCAATAACAAGAGGAATACAAATTAGAACAACATAGCAATTTTTGTCTAATAGGCAAAGTTTTTTTTTTTTTTTTAAAGAACACTTATATTCAACCCCCGAAAGAAGAAAAACATAGAAAGATGTTTAGAGGCAATTTATACAATACACCCAAAGCCTTAAAAATCCAAACAGAACAAACAACTTTGTGGGTATGCACACACTTGTCTGGATACCCACGTACGTTCTCTTACACAACAATTCCACTTCTG